CCAACAAAGGGNGTAAGGGTATGGCTAGCTGATGAGAGCTAAATAGCTTGAAATAGATCTATACTAGTCTCCCTTTATTTATTTATCAGCACAAATAAAAAAACACTTATATACATATACATATACATATACATATACATATACATATACATATACATATACATATATATATATATATATATATATACACACACACATACATACATACATACATACATACACATACATACATACATACATACATACATACAAGATGGCTTTATATAATAAAATTTGACCCATTTTATCCCCACTTCTAATCTTCTACCCAAAGACAGTCTATGGCTACTGAACATGCCATCTTCTCATTATGAGGTTGGGAGCAACTCATTGCCTTAGGGTCTGTCCATAAATTTAGTTTGTATTCCAAGCTAACCAACTTTGTTCCCTTAGCTGACCCAAGAAGGAAAAAGTGTAGACAGCTCCCACCCTTAAAACATTTGTTTACCAAGCACTATTGGTTCTAATACTTCTTTAAACTGTTTTACTTTTATATCGCTGTTTCATTGTTAACATAGCACTATGGAAATTCTCATTGGACATATCCTTGAATATTCCAGCAGTGTCTGAATTTGAAATCATATGACAAAGATATAACATGTGAGAAATTCCTATGTTTATTCTGAGTTTTCTTAAATGTTGACAAAGAGAATTAGAGGCAATCATTATGGAAATGGCAGTCATCTAGGTTGCTTGCAAATGTGTAATAGAAGGACACTTTCTAAGACAGTGTTTTCCAACAGAATGTTTGTTCTAACATTTAATCTAAGTTATTTTCCTTGTGCTTAGAATCTACATTGTAGTTTGAATTCTTTGGAATAATATACTGGTAATTGTGATATCATGATATAAATTTTCAAATAGTTATGACCTTTAATTACATCTTTCCCAGGCTAAACACTGCATGCAATTCTTCAGCCCCATTTTAATGGCCTCCAGAATGTCCCAGAAATTTGCTGTTAAAATATAGTGGCAAAATATTCATCTTACACTGCTTAAATGTTAAGGAGAGGAGAGAAGAGGGTTGATGAAATATATCTTTAAAAAAACATTAACTTCTCCAAAAGCTTTACTGATTTAAAATTTCAACTTCAGAACCCCCATGATATAAATGCAGTGCTGTTTTGTCTTCGGTGACTAATGGAAATTTTTAAAAACTGTGTTCACAACCACAAAAAACATGTTTGTCCTGGGTTTTTTGGGATATTTTTCCAAAATATCTTTCTTAATGTTCTTCAGTTCATCACTTAGTTTTCTTATATCAGAGTGTCCCCAATATTTCAATCATCTAGGTTTTATCAGTGGAATGTAAGATGCACCAACAGATTATAAATTTCTTCCCAGTATTTCCCTTCATTCTGGAGTAAATCTCCTTTCTCTGCTTTTGAATATATGTATGTATGTATGTATGTATGTATGTATGTATGTATGTATGTATGTATATACACACACACATACATATACACACACACATATATATACATACACACACATACATATATATATACACACACACATACACACACATATATATGTACATACATACATATAC